CCCCCCTTTCCCCCCCCCCCCCCCTCTCGTCAGGCCTGAATACCGGCCTTAGTGCTACAAATGCTTCGAAGCATTTGATTGACCAATCGAAATAAAGAATTTTACAAATTGACTAATCAAAAAATACCTCGAAAAGCATTTGTATCAAGTTGACTGTAGCTTTAATCAATATGCAGATTTTAATCAATCACATTAAATTGACAAATACGTACATTTAAAATGTAAAGTAACTGTTAAATTAGTTACTAGTTATTGAAAGAAATGTAACTAATTGTAAGTTAAGTTACAGTTACAGATGGGAAAAAGGAACTAAGTTAAGTTACAGTTACTGAAAAAAAAAAAAAACTGTAACTGTAATTTACAAATTAATTACAAATAACTAGTTACTTCCCAATTCTGAATATGATGTTAGCTATCATATATTTTCTGAATTTAAACCAAAATAGATTTATGTTTAAAAAGAGAAAGAGAAAAAAAATTAAAAAAAGTTTAAAAGTACATACCTTGTTTTATCTCTTTATTTATTTCCTGTAAATTACAGAATTACTATATGATCAAGAATAGCGAGAAGATAAATATATATATTTTTTACTGATTGATTATCTGTGAAAACAAATTAAAGAAAGTTACATTTTAGAGATTTTTTCATTTTCTCATGTAGGGGAAAAAAAATTCTCGTGAGATGATAGTGTCTAAAACAAACTTATCGCAAATCATTTGTAAGTGTTATCTCGTGTTTGAATTTATGTAAGTGATCATGTTATGTATGTACTGCAGTAGAGAAGGTTATAAAGAAACCGGATTGTATTTATAGTATTGAGAATTAATGGCTGAAAGTTTACTAGCTCCAAATGCTTATATACATATTGTTTATTTCAAAAGTGATAAAACTCTAAAAATGTTATTTTTTACCTGCCAAGAATGAGTTTTAAACATTTTACATTTTTTTATATATAAAGGTATAATAAAAACACGTGGATGAATTTATTTGAAATTTTTTATCTTTTGTTATTATTTATTTATTTTGAATTTGTTATAATTTTGTTTTAGCTATATATATTAATTTTTATAAGCCTGTTGAATTTGGACAAATTGTTAATTTTCGCTTCAAGAATGTTCCAAATTTCAACTAGATATTTATATATACACATATATATGTTTTCCCGCAAATGAAAGACAACTTTCTCAAAATTGTATGTATGCCTTTCGCAACTGAAGGGTTAATATACAAGGTCGATACATACATTTGAACGTTTCAAATCAGTCAATGTCTTTACAATAAATACATTGTCAAAATGGGTATTATTCATTATGATACTAAGACATTTGACCGTGCACGCTTTGCGCGGGAAGGAGCATGATATTGCACGCACTGCATTTATAGCGAAATATACAATATTCTATACATATATTTTATAATAATAAATTAAAGAATGTGTTTTCGCGTCGGCTACATATTTTCAGTCACCGCTTGGTCCGTTACATTAATTACTTACGTACAAATTCGTGTGTAAAATTACAATATACATATATTATATAAAGATTTCTGTGATACGCGCACTGCGGCTGCAGTCAATAAAAACATTGACGAAAAAAGCTCAGGGCAGTTTGAATTTCGTATCTTTCAATGCTAATTACGCAAGGTAAAGGTAAAGAAATTTGATCAGCTTTGTATTGGCTTGCTTCGTCAATGTTCCATGAAAAGTATCAATCTTAAATTGGCAAACGTAGTAAAACGATCAGGGACCATATTCTTGAAAAATGTCACATACCAAAATGTATGAAAATACTATGATATACGTTGATAATACTATGATTACGTATATTATAGATTTCTCTAGTATTTTCGTATACAATGTTATTCAGGAATTAGGCCTCTGGACGTCGTTTACTGTTACACAGGTGGCGGTCCATTCGGATAAAAGACTATCGGCGTAAAGCTCTTCGCAAGATTATTAGAAAGCATACAACTGTAGTCTTCTTCTGCAGATGGTACCAAAGATGCGACGCCAAGCAATAACAGCATCAATGCTTGGATTGGAAGGGATACTCGTAGAACTCGTCCTAAGAAGCGATAACCACGTGTTGATACCGATTGGTCTTTTCCGTCACCACTGCAACAGATTTCCAGTAATGGGATATTAAATGAGATTGTCTCGTTGACATGATGAGAACTAATTTTTCTTACAAGTGAAAGAGCTTTTATTTATCTATTTTACTCATTAGATGTATCTATATAATTATCACGATCATCCTTATGATAAATAAAGTTCTATCGTAAAACTAATCGATAGGATATTGTCACGATAAAAAAAGAAACAACATACTCTGTGCCGGTGGCGTGAGGCTGAGCAGTCCCAGAGGCAGCTTCGTCGAGCAGCTACAGTTCAACAAAACAGAAAATACAAACAATAAGATACTGTGCAAGTGGTTACTACGAATAACTTATACATGGAAGTGCCATCGTGATGACTTCTCATCATCGAATGACGCTTCTCGTTCTGAAAAATTTGTGTGATTTTACTAATTTGTGCAATAATCTACAATAAACTATACATAGATATAGAAATAAAAATATAAAGTTTTTTTATCAAGTAATATTATCGAGGAGATACTATTAAAAACTAACATATTTATGAAAGTTGGTGTGATAATCAGTTTAATTACTCGAAAAATCAAGAATTGAAGAATGTGGACATTATCAACTGTATTGGCTGTTCCGAAGATAGCTAATAAGAGTATTATTTAATTTAATTTAAAGGGTATTGTTTCATCATCAATAAAATATACCTTTAGATTTGTATAATATATTTCTGATAATAAAACAGAAAAGATAAAATCCACGTTAATTTTGTTGGTATCATAACAAAACAGTTATTATATAATGTTAGCATTCTTCCTTTACTACAAAGCCTTCAGGATCCTTATTTGGTGGTTAACAAAAATTTGTCCAGGATTGGTCTTTAATAGTATCTTGTCAGTAACATATATATACATATATACATATAGGTGACAATCGTGAAATCTATTAAGTACCTCACCTCTACGAAGTCAACATTAATAATAAACACATTGTTATCAAGTCATTTGAAGATGAAGAGTTTAATAGAAATGTTACATGACTTTTAAGATAAGGAAAGCGATTGATAATGATTGAAAACATTTGTATTTGGAAATAAAATCATTGCAAACAGATGTAACGAAGTAGTGCAGTAAAAAATTTGAAAAAATGAAGCCGTTTAATTTGTTCTACAATCTACATTACTCTCTCATTGACCTAAATCTTTGATCTCTTTATGATGAATTGATATGACTCATATTTTACGGTAAAGCTATAAGGTTCTCTGAAATCTATTGCTATAGAAAGAAAAAGTCATTTTTGAGAAATTTTAACAGGCAGATAATCAGATGAACAAACCAATACTGTAAAATTATGAAGTATTGTAGTTTATTACTACTTTATTATAAACTTGAGTTGAAATCGTTCTGTTTTTATTCAAATTTTCTGTGTGAAAATAACCTAAACGAAATTATATGTGCTCAAACATAGAACGAGTTGAAGTGCTCATAAGCTCATTGTACCATGTTAATTGTTTTTTTTTTTTTCGACAATTCGGATCTTTATAGAATAGTTCTCTTTCTTTTTTATAGGATCCATTATGAAGTTGGAGCGGAATTAGCATCAGTCAGAAGTTGGCGCCGATTAAACATGTTAATGATGACGACTAGATAGCGGTAAGTTTTTATTTACACTTGAAATCACATCGTAATTAAGGTTATCGTTAAAAAGCTTTTGATCAATATACCAATAGAATATTTTAATTCTTCGGAACGATATATAAAAACTCTCATTAGACAAGACACTCGTATGTATCACGTAGCATATTTAGTTAAAATAATTCATACATATATTATTGTATGAACGTGAAAAAATTAGAAGAAAATGTGTATTACAAAACAAATCTTATTTTATAACAATTTCCAGCGAATATAATTAGAAATCTTTTTATTTTTAATTTTAAATACTTTTGTTCCTAAATTATTACCAGAATGCATATAGATGCTTTTCAGCATGAGACAAATGATACATTGTATAATAATACATATATATAGTGAATCATTACCGCTTTCTTGTCAATGTTAAACAAAGATAAAATTCTCACTATATTATACTGTATCTCTTGCTGGAAAGATCCATATATCTCAATGTTACACATCAACTACACATTTGGTGTTACATTATCTATTAAAAAGATCTACTTCAAGCTTATATAAATTTGACAATAATAAATAGATTAATAAATTAATACAATGGTAACTGCTTTGATTACAAGTAAATTTATTGTATAAGAAGAAATAATTTAGAACTTACGTCATGTGAGAGAGATGCAAGAGACGTAGTAGTGAGACCGATATCCTGTGGGTCCAGTCCTAGGGCAACTCCTATTTTAAGGGCATAGATTCCTGTGAGTCTTCTTAACGACTGTAACCTTAATCGCACTTCATGTACACGCGTTCTGATTTCTGTTTCTTCGTCCAAAACATAATTAGTCGCATTATGTAACGTTATTATTCGTGACTCGCAAATCTCAAAATTCTTTCGGATTGCCCTAAAATGAGAATAAAATCATTTAAAAATAGATTTTAATATATTATTTACTATACAAATTCGACTACTTTTTTTTAAATGTATTTGTCGATAACGTCCATTTGTGTAAGAAAGTTTCAATAGAGATATTTACCTGAATGCATCATATTTTGCTTTTAGGATGTTACTAGGTGCGGTCAGATCGATTGGTTCACTTGCTGCAATGTTAAGCTCATTTTTTGTTATCCAATCTCGTGTACTTTCTATTATACCATAAAGTTGGCGATTTGTCATGAGAACGTGCTGCAGCTTATTCTGCCACTCCACATTAGCTGTACAAATTTTCTCCCATCTGCTATTTGCCACAGCCAATCTGTCACAAAGCTTCTTCGTACGTTCCGTGTCTTCAGTATGATTGGCTAGGTGAGTACCAACTACATTCAGATTTGTTATGATACTCTCGTGACTATCCAGATCCAATTGAAACTTGCGATAATTAGAAATTATGTACTCCAAATGATCTAAATCATTGGGTGGCGAGTGCTGCTCACTTTGTATACCCTCGGCGTACTCCAACCATTTATCTAAACGCCATAAATCATTGTCCAGCTGAGCCCAATTACGACGAGAGCATAATGGACAGGTCAGTTTGCCACTATCGCTGTAATGATTATAATTATGATTATGACCAGCATATTCGAAATTATATCTACAATTTAATTAGTTAAAGAAGGTTTTAAAATTAAGAAGGCATAAAAAAAAGTATATGACTATTTCTGTTCGCTAAAGTTGCAAATATTTAAATTTTGCTTATAATGAGATTATAAATTAATTTACAAAAATTGAAAATATTAGCTACACAAATTTTTTTTATAACAAGCATTAAAACTTTAGAGTTACTTTTAGGAATATTTTTATTAGTAAAATGAGTTTATTTTTTATTGAATTTAATTGTTATATAGTTACTCACTGGTCACATGGAATAACGTAACCATCGGTGACGGGTGATCTGTATAGGATAAGGGATAAGCATTATTTTAATTGGCTTTGCTAAGCGTTATTGTTCGCATTAAAAATTATTGCAAGGCAGTGTTAATGCATCTATATTAGCAAAAAGATGAAGCTTAAACAACATAAAGAGATAAGCGTTTACGATATTCTTATAAATTGTAACAGTATAATGTTATATATTGTGCTTTATTATTTATTCAGCATTATTAGTGTGAAAATTAAAAATGACATAAATGGATGATCATCTACATATAAAATATTGTTAAAATGGAATATCACACAAATATTATGCAAGAGCTATTAGCGTGTATGTATAAGTCAATATGTTTGGATGTTTTAAACTCTCACAAAGAGAGTACCACATTTAATAAGACAAAAAGAATAGGATAAAAAGAAAATTTTTTTTATACGTAATGTAATCAAAATCATGTATTTACAGCAAGCGTGCCCAGCACTTTGCTCATGGACTAAATTTGTTCACCTTTCATCTCGTTGAGTGAGATAGAGAGAAAACAAAAAAAATAGATACTAAAAGTATCTCATGAGATAATATAAAAATATTTTTAAAATAATAAAAAATAAAAAGGGCTACGAGTCAAAAAATTCGTTAAAATATAAAATTGTTTGTAAATAAAATTTGTCATTTGGTTAAAATTACGTAATTTAATTAGAAAAACAGATAACAGACGTTTCGACCTCTCTTAGGTCATTTTCAATGTTACAAAGATCGCAGTTCAAAAATTACAGAATTATAAAATTACATTTAAAAAATATAAATATAACAACGTGTGTGTAATCTCACTCGCATAGTTTGAAGTCGTATACAATTCGGTAAACCAGTAAGAATCCAAAAACAATGTAATTCGTCTAGTTTTAAAAATAATTTATAAAGGCGTGTGATAATTATTTCTGTCAAAAACAACATCGGTAATGCAAATAAATATGAAAAGAGAGTCAAATAATAAAATAATGAATTAACGTAAAGAGAGTCAAATCGTAAGATAATAATATGAAATTAATATAATGTATAATATAAGAATAAAAGTATATAAAATATATACTTTTAACGTGTAAAAAAACTTAAACTTAAACTTGGCTCTCATCGCATTATTCTAACAACGAACAATTTTATAATTCGTACAATGATACATTTTTATAAGATAATCTTATTCATTGTTTAATTTAATCGATACTAAATTAACAAAAATTAATATGATATATTATATGTCTTTTACTAAACTTTATTTTCAATTAAAGTTTCCTTTATCATATATTTTTATTCTTACATTATATTTCATATTATTATCTTACGATTTGACTCTCTTTACGTTACATTCATTATTTTATTATTTGACTCTCTTTTCACATTTATTTGCATTAGCGATGTTGTTTTTGACAGAAACAATTATTACACGTCTTTACAAACCACTTTTAAAACTAGACGAAGTACATTGTTTTTGAATTCTTACTGGTTTATCGAATTGTATACGACTTCAAACTATGCGAGTGAGATTACACACACATTGTTATATATAATTTTTATATTTTTTAATATGTTTTTTATGTAATTTTATAATTTTATAATTTTTAAACTGCGATTTTTGTAACATTGAAAATAACCTAATAGAGGTCGAAACGTCTGTTATCTGTTTTTCTAATTAAACTACGTAATTTTAACCAAATGACAAATTTTTTTACAATTTTGTACAATATTTTAACGAATTTTTTGGCTTGTAGTCCTTTTTCTTTTTATTATTTTTAAATTTATTAAGCCTTATTACAAACATATTATATAATCTTTTTTATTTTCACTAAACAATGAAAGGGTGAAAACTTTTTAATTTGCGAGTAAAATATTGAACAGACCTGATTTTTATATACGTTAGCTTCCAATTTAAATAATTTTTTTATAAATATTTTTTATCTAAATTTGCGCTCACTTGAAGATTAGTTTAGAAAAATAGTTGTTATTACAATCTTTGCTTACTACAAAATAAATGCACTAAACATTTAAACATTGAAGTGAGCGTGAAAGAAACTTTACCTGAGCTCTTTGATTTGCTGTTCACGTGCTCTTGCTAGTGCAATGAGTGTTTCGTATCGAGCTATTAGTGCTGTTACCTCGCTACTTTTAGCAGCTCCTACAGTCAATGTGCCGTCTTCCATGAGCAGACTATGAAGGTGGCGTACCAGTTCTATCGAGGACTGGCAAATTCCGATTAGTTTAGTCTGTAATAATCCCATGATATTTTAATAAAATAACAAAGAATACACTAAATGAAAAATAAAATTCTGAAAATAAAAAACTTACGATAGTTTTAGCAACCGCGTTAAGCCCAGGATCGGTAATGGGATCAGGTGTTACTGCTGCTTCTAGGGCATTTAGGACTTTGTTGCATTCGTTCAGGGCAGATTCCAATTCCATCAAATATACGTCACATGAAGTCATTTTGATTCTTGGTAGGGTGTCTACTTGAACCGCGATATCTTGCTCAAATTTCAAAGTTTCTACCTGCACCGCCTCGTCGACCTTCGATCTTTCTTGCGTTTTCAATTCCTCTTTCAGCGCGGCTACTCGTGACTTAATATCCCGCCACAAGAGTTGATATTCGTCTACCAGTTTCTGAATCGCGGCCACGTCATCAGGATTGCTCTCCTGCATAACTCGCAATGCCAATTCGTCTGCTTTGCGCAGCGTGACGTTTTGAGTATCGAGCTCTTCCTCAATTTCACTCAACTGTTGACGTCTTCGTCGCAACGATGATCTTTGCTCAGGTGTGGCGAGGTGCTGCATTTGTGTTAGGCGAACATCCACCTGCGTCAGGCCCATTACTGCAGTACCATGCGTGGATACGAACTCACGATAAGTCTTTTGTTCCCGTTGAATGCTCGAGATGATGGCGTTGATTTTTGTCTCCAGAACCAACCATCTGTCAATGATCTTCCGTGTCTCGGCCGTAAGAGACCTAAAGTTATCGGGATCCAATCCGGACTTGGCCAGACGCCCAAATATCTGTTCTAGGATTTTCAAGGCCTTCTGATGCGCTTCGATATCTTTAGCGATCGATTTAGCTTTTTTGGTTATTTTCCTTGATTTCCTTGATTCTTCTATCGAGATTTTTGTAAGATCGTTGTCCAATTCCAATAGAGATTTCTCTGTTTTGACTAGCCATGGTTCATGCTCGCATCTGGTTTTCTCCAGCTCTTGCAGCAGCTTCCAAATCATCATGATTTTTCGCTTGCGCTCGGTAGATTTAATGCACACAGCTTTCCATCGTTTCTCTAGACCTTCCATACCGTTTTTTATTGTGTCCATATTAAAAGAGGCTTTCCATGTATCACAATCGTTTAACAGAATTTCACATAAATTTAGCACTTCGCCGATATTACCGCTTTCAGCCTCAATATTAATCTTGAGATAGTCGTGATCTTCGAGCTTTTTATCGATATTTTTCTGTGTGAGTTTCTCGATAATGATAGTTTCCGATAGCTGATTTTCGATACCGGTTAGCCAAGTCCGTAAATCAGCTATCCTCTTGAGCAATGAGTTCATAGTCTGAATTAGATCGATTAGCTTGTTAGCTCTTGCTTTACCACCGGCCATTAAACGGTTCCACTTCTCGTTAACTTCATCTAAGGATTGCTGGAGTTTTATTTTCTCTGTCTCCTCGGCGACTTCTATTAGCTCTTGCCCGATATTTTGTAACCACTCAAGTTCGCGCTGTTTCAAGCTCATCTCCGTTTGTAGCTCGCATTCAAATCGCTTCAATGCCTCTTCAGGTTCGTCTAATGCCATTGTGTCATGGTCTTGCGTTCTGATCGCTGCATCCTCCATCCACGACAACAATTTATTTAATCTATTCTCCCATCGACCATGAAGAGCACAACGTTCTCCGAGTCTATACGATAATAAAGCTAACTGGTATTCAAGATCGCCGTGTTGTTGCGTCAGAAGAGCATCTTGTTGATTTAATGTCTTCATGTCGCTCGGGCTCAAACACTCCCTCAATTGTTCCGTGATTACACCAAGTGATTCCAAATTGCGTTGCGCGCTAGTTAGGTGAGTTCTCAGATGTTCAAGCGAGTCAAGTTGTTCTTTCGTCTTGGATAGACTTATTGGTCCCGCGTGAAAGGCCGCACTTAATGTTTGGCTGATTTCCTGGAAGGTTGTGACGATCATCTCAAACTGCTTGACGTGTTCTTCATGCAGTTTCTGTACTCGCTGAACAAAATCCCTCCAGGTTTCCAAACCGGCTCGTAGATTCGCGATCCGTTGTACGTTTGCAGCGTGTTCCATGCGTATTGAGATGGCCAACGCCTCGTCGCAATTAGTTAGGAGATATTCATGTTGCTCCTGAAGAGACTTTATCTGAGTCTCGCCAACTGGCATCTTGTCCAACAGCGCCTGAATTCTTTGCAGAATCTTTTCAAGCCTTCTCAGATGGATAAACTGTAGATTCATACGTTGCCGTTCTCGTTCAACTTCCTTTAACCACGTCAACAATTTCCTTTGATCTAATTTATATCTATCCCAAGCCGATATTCTGTCACGCACTGTCGCATGTCGCTCCAATATTCTCGCCAATGTCTCATTGTGAAGATTTGTTAAGGCATTGAATTGCTCAGTGATCGATCCATCACGATTTTCTTCTTGTCGCACCGTTAAAATGAGATTCTGCTGTTCAGGTAAAAGTTTTCGATGAACCTCACAGAGATTCCGATGCTCCGATAAACTATTGTAATCACCTGGCATACCGCTCGACAGAAAATCTTGTACATGCGTCAAATATTCTTCCCAAAGCTTTAACGCGGCAGTCACATCTTGCGAGCGGATTAATCGTGTCGACAAACGGTGATACTGCTGGAAGGTTTCTTGAAATACGCGTTGCCATAACTGGACCACCTCAACCACTGACGGTTCCTGCACGGAAACATCTAACGCGCGATCCTTGATGGATTGAAGCTGCGGCTCGGTTCGTGTTAACGCGAGTAGGTGATTTCGCAGTACTGTCAGTTGTTCGTTAGACTCGCCTTGACCCACCGCTGTCAGACTCTGAAAAATAGACGGACAAGCTCTTCTGATTACGATCGATTGTTTGACGGGTTCCTTAAAAAATGGACAGGGAAATAAAAAGAATTTATGAGTTAATTTGGCGCGCGTGAATGGTTCCGTGAATTCTCGACACGTCGATCGATGCACTGGTTAAGTATCGTTCTTACTTCGAAGGAAACGTGATTCAACAACGTAGCGACGTCGTTATATTCTCCTAGCAAGTAGGATCGTATTGAATCGCCTTTATCTGTCGATCGACGTTGACGATGCACGCCGTAAATTCCGTCGGGAAACGGAACTCGGCGCGGCACCGCTCTCAAGTTCGAAAGTTTCGGCCGACGCTGTGTGCACGAGTGTTGCAGCCATTCAGCTGTTGCGGATATCGTGACTGATGTAATTGCCACCACGGGTTAAGCCCTTCGGCCTTGACATAACAAATTGTTTCGGAACTACCGCGATTAAAATATAAACGCGCGTGCGAAGCGATGATCGAGGTTGTGCCAAGCACCAATGGTGCGCCGCTCAACAACTGATGGACGCGTTAGTACGTCAGACTAAAGCGACCTAACGCCGCGGGTTTAACTATCACCTTCGAAGCGCAGAGGAACGTGTACATCGATCCTTGAAAAATGTTTTTAACTGTGAGAAATTCGAGGAAGGTCTCGTTCTTCAAGGTCCTGAAGCCGTTTCGCACGTACGTGCCAGGATTAATCAGCACATCGGACACACACACTCGAGAAAAATATGTGAAGCTATCATCATGTATATATACTTATAATTCTAGTTCGTCATGAAACTGAAAATCGAAATATCTTATACTCGTTATAATTTAGTAAAATTATTTTTTTCCTCTTTTTTTTTTATATTACGGTTAGTGAAAAGAGATTTTTTAATCTCTAGTTTCTTTTAAATCTTTACGAGACAATTATCTTGACACTGTTAATGCTCGAGTACTCGCGTTAAAACGAATGAAAGATGTTTGACTAGCATGCAGTTAGGCAGAAACAGATGCAGCATGAACGGAGGCATGTACCTGTTGGACCGAATCCAGGAAATTTTTCGTCTGGCATAGATCACCGCGGGCAAGTTCCTGGTTGAGGACATGGGCATCCACCGTGTCCGCGAGGGTCGACAAGGTTTCTCGAACATCTTCGAGTCGTTGACCTAGCGCTTCAACTTCGCAGTGCAGCGGTCCACCAGCGTCCAAACCCACATCCGATGCGATCTGTGCCACCAGACCGCGCAGTTCCGCTAGTCTTTCTTTGTGCTCCGCCAGTGTCTCCTCGCAAACCTGAAACAAGTTTAACATATCTAAGCTTTAACGCGTCTGCGTTCCGCTCAAATTTTTCGCGCGAAAGTCTCTTTTCTTTAATTCTTTTATTTCGAATATGACGTGACCAGCATATGGAACGTATAAATTTTATATCATTAAAATAATATGTGTAGAAGGGCTACGAGCCAGAAATCAAATAATAAAATATTTTTAATAATTTTGAAAACATTTTATATAAGACAAGAATTCGAAAGTTACATAGAAAACGCAAACAAAAGTTAGACTAAGAATTAAAATATAAACAATAATTTTATATCTCATTCTTATAATATTTTGTATTATATATTTTTACAACATTTACATATATTATTTCCTAATTTTATATTGTATTTGAATTTTTGTTATCGGTGGTGCGAATTAACCCATCATATTGAAGTATTAATACAATTGTTTCATTTGCTCAAAATGCAGTCAAGCGAAAAAGATTCAGAACGGATCTAAAGTCTACTTGAAGAACACGTGTTTGTTTCTCTCTATCGATATTTATAGACGTGTAATGTGTATCTATTACCCCTTCTATGCAGGAACTAAGTTTACTATGAAAATGCTATATTGTACATATTTTTTTCAGAACTCTCATTATCATATATCGCAGTCCTCGTTGAGAAATGCATTTTATTTCCACATAAACGATTATCTAGAATGTATTATCGGGCTAAAATACCTATTATTTTTTATATGTTTCGTAATTTGTACATTTTAGTTCTTTTTTGTCTAGCAGTACATTTTTCTCAGATGATAATTTTTTTTCATTAGTTAATTCGCTAATTATTACGCCTAGAGTCGCAGAAAGGATCGATACATCTGTCGCGGCTACATCTCGATAATTAAATACTCGCATCTGTAACTGTTCAAAGAGGTCTGAATTATTGTAGTCACGTTCATGGGATAATTTAATCTGCTCGATATCTTTGGTACAGCACTGTATTCTACGTGACACATTAAGATGAAATATATAAAAAAATAAGTTAACATCTTTTTCCTTTTATTTATATTTACATGTATAAGCAACGCAATGATGTTCTGAAGAGTGCGCGTCTGCTTAGGTGGAGTAAAAAAGAATTTTTTTCATCGAGCTGTTTTAACGATGACTATAGATAAATGAATGCATGTATATTCTTGTAACATGCACACATACGAGTACGTTATTAGCAAGACCTTCGTATATTCACAAGGGCACCAATATCCGCCTTTACGGAACATGTTTGAATACATACAAAGGACAGTTATTTTCTTATACTTTTCAGCGTTTAACTTTCAATGCAACAAATTGCCTAATTAAATAATTTTTCTGACAGATATTTACAATCTCCAAATAATTTGAAATTTTTCTTTGTAATATTTTTATATATTAACAAATATATTCTTAAAGAATTTGTCTTCAAAATTTATTCTGATCTGGATTTTGTCACTTTTTTAAAAAAATTTTCTTTGTTACTGATATAAATTGATATAAATAAAAATGAAGGTCTTAGGAAGGTCACGCGCGTTATTTTCGTAGGATTAAAATTACTTCGGTTCCATTTTTTTAAATAATCAGCAGGAATCTCTGACTTGTTGTAAACATGGTTTTTGATAAATTATTCATTGTTCTTCTACCTGCTCGTTACATCGGTTTACCTTTATTTCTTCCGGCGTACACATGTCTTTAGTTCGGATCTTCGTTCATGGTTTCTGTTTTTTGACGCGCGTTTCTCATGAAGTTGCGCTCCAAAACTAGGCTAACACGTGCGGCACTGTACCTTCTTCTGTCATCTAAACACATGGTCCGAATCGCCTTTGCGTATTTCACATTCATATGCGTATACACGTATACAAACACATGCCTGTGTATCGTATATGCGATATATTCATCCTCACGCGTGACAGATGCGAGTGTTAAAAAATTTCCTCGGCGAGATAAGGAGGAGCGATAACAAGTATACGCGTAAGTTCCGACAAGATAAACGATTCTTTGTGAAAACGTATCGAGAGCGTACACTGGATGCTGTAAACGTTGCAACGCCCTGGACCGAACTGGCGTAGCTCTAAGGGATCGATGCGCACGTCTGCGCGGCTCGCCCTCTTGCCCCGGATTCTCTCGATGGATCTACCCCTGCCACGCCTGTACGAGCTGCGTGAGCGAGGGGTGACGATGATGATGAGTCGATTTTTACTCTTATTCGTCCCTTACTTGTATGCTGTGATCATATCCTTGGACAGTAGTAGTGCGCGCGCAGTTGGGGACGATGACATCATGCGCTTCCCATTCAAGGGATGAAAGCACGTCTGTTGCATGTCCCTGACTCGTTCATTATCACGACGGAAGAAAATTTATTTTCATTCTGATATATATTGACCTTCCCCATATATACGGAGAATGTATAATAATATTCAATATTTTTATCACATAATTATTAACGACACTTTATGATGAAAGAATAGATTGTATGCTTTTTCATTGAAAAAAATAGGCGTGTTTGTTGTATATCCTTGACCTGGTCATTATCGTGAGAGAAAAGAATTCTTCGCTTCATATATCATTTCTGATATGTTGATATATAATACATGTATAATGAATACGCTGATTGTAAAAATGTTTAATATTTTTTATGATGATATTCTTAACATTTGTTTATGAAGGGATCGCATCAACCTAATAAATTAAGAAGACAAAAGAAAAAAACATAAAGGAAAATTGCTAAAAAATTATACTTAGATATAGTGTTGTGTTTCTCTTTTGATATTAACTTATATGCAAGTTAATATCAATTGGATGTTGTGTGTAGTTTGACATTTGAAGGTATTTATTACATTTGATCTTTTGTCAGGAATAAATTAATTTATTGTAACCTTTTTTATGATATAAAAAATATGATTAAGTTTCTTGATTTTTAAAAACATGGTTCCTTTAAAAATAATTAATTTGAATAAAATAATGAAAAATATAGTTGAGGACGATATTAGGCAGCAATTTTCTTGTATGAGTGCATAAAAAAATTATCGATATCTTTCTATATGCTATCTATAATGCTGTACGTATATCTATAATATACATATTTAAAATGTACATAAATTAAAATGATTTAATACTTAAATATAAATGCAAAGAACTAATATCTCAGCTGCTAAACTTTAAAAGAATGCATGAATAAATTATCCATTTGCGACAGAAAACGGATGATTTATTCATTCATTCTTTCAAAGTTTAGCAGCTGGAATATCAGTTCTTTGGCCGAAACCTCTTTAATCCCTGAATATTCAAATTCTTATTTTAAGAATAGACGTTACCTCTTACGTAACTTTCTAATGCTTGTGAAGGTCACTACTTAACAGATGTATTTGTTTGCTAATTATCATCTATTAACGGGTGTTCTTACGCGTCTTCCGTTTCCGCGATATAGAAATTAGCAAGATTTTCGAAAGTGGACTACTTTTCAAAGTAAGGATTTTAATTTATACAAGCGATAAAAAATTTATGACATCGCCTACCTTAACTTGCTTGACTGCTTCCTCCGGTGGCAAATTTACCACATTGTTCATTTGGGTATCTACCCAAGCCTTCACCGCGGCGCTAGAATCTCTGTATTGCTGCCAGAGTCTGCACGCGTGTTGATATCGGGTGCAAAGGGCATCCAATTCGGCCCTTGTGTCCTCCCAAGCCTGTACGGCCTCATTTACTGCGGCGTCGACCCTCTCGCGGACCTCTGTGGCGCAACTCTCCCGCAGAGGCTCGGCAGCGGCACGTAATTCGCCAATGAGAACTTCTCGAGCACCCAAATCGCCGTTCAAACCCTGTCGTTTTAAGAAAAAAAATGGGAAAAATATAATATTATATTATATATTGAAACATATGTACAAATATATTTAACCTTTGTAAATATTATATTTTCCAAACATTAAAAATCAATCAGTTGTTATTTTAATTAAATAAGTTTAAGTCTTTTTTATACGAAAAGAAAGTAGAGCGTTAATAAAATTGAAAGATAATTCTTATAAATACATATTTCTTACAATTTTTATCCGTACACTTATTTTAATAATATTCTAGTATTGAATACGTTTTAAGAATTATTAAAAGACGTTTAAATCCTTATTCAGAAAAGATGACAATAATAATTTGTTAAATATATTTTTCCATTAGTAATTGATTTTAAAGAATACGCTATATATAACAAAAAAAGAGATTCAACTTGTTTTTCCACAAATTGAAATCTCGCGGTGTTCTTGTCTATTCTTATTCAACGTTGCTGTACATCAATTTTAAGAATTTTGCCTGTACATATATAGACGACTTCGCACCAGACAATTCAAAGAGAGCGCCGGTTTTGCTTAAAACACGCTATAAATAAATTCACGGCACGAGACTAGCACATTTGGAGACTTACATGAATTCGGTCAGAACATGGTTGAACTAATTTTGTGTCGTGTACTCTAGTTCGTTCACCTCGTGAATTTTCCAAGAAAATGCACACGCAAGTGCATTATCTTATTATCGAGAGAAAATATTAATATTTTTATCAAATACCAAAATCTATCGCGTGAAGAAATATATTTAAAACATTTTCTTGAAAAAAGTTATTCAATCACACAAGTAATTTCTGTGAGGAATTTACCGACTGATATTTTACCGTGTTTTATTTGTCTTTATGCATTGACGGCATTGTATGTCAAAGTAGATTAATATTAATTGCCGATCAGTCGTTAAAGAACATTCTGATGTTCAGAAATTCTGGCGAGTTGTAAAGATAAATCGATAGACGGTACACTGTAAGAGGAAATTATAAATATAGTATGTTTGGGCAGCCGCAGCGCTATAGATGTACGCTTCTCCACGTGTCGTAGTTTACATACCGCGTTATCGTATAATGCTAATAATCATAATTATTTATATCGTCTTTAATAATTGTTTTTAAAGTGATGAGTGCCAGTCATTGATATATAATGCGCATATTATACTTGCATTGTGAGACAGAATTTTCAAATAAGTATACGTCATCTAAAACGCGCGATATATTTATTATGGTTTTGAGATTCTAGAGATTACAAAGATCATTCGTGAATCTCGTAAAAATATTTTACTCTTATTTATATTGTTAGTCAATTGAAACTGATAGTACTTTACAAACAATAAATTCCAAACTTCACGTTTGCAATTGTTAACTTCGCGCAATTATAATGCACTTCGCATTGCAATATTAATTTATTCTTCGCACAATAAATCACGTAAATTCTACCGCTTAAAGTCGCTTATTTCGATCGAGTTCATCGTGTTTAAAATTGCATTTATGTTACGCGAGTAATTGTACGATTGATACTATCGCATACGAAGAAATCGTTATAATAACTATATACTGTACACTCTTATTTAATATCATCACGTTTATATACCTCGATCAGCCGAATTAGAAATCGCGAGTTACATTCTTTGCTTTACATACACTATCTCGTTACAGACGACCTGTTGCTTGTAACAACTTCACGCCTGGCATAATATATGCTGATTTAATACTCATCGATGGATAACGGTGTGTATAGACTTGCTTCTTATGTCTCGCTGCGATGCGTGACGGTCTTGTTTGTAGAAAAGGAGAAGAGAGAGAGAGAGATGTTCCGGCGGAAATAAATTCTGACGAAATCATTTTCTCTTTTTTATGCACGCATTCATACATTCGCGGAGAGTAAATCGATCGGCCCTAGATAGATAGAAATATTAATGACGATCTTGAGCGCCGAGAAATCAGAACTTTTTCCGAGCTTTTTTTATTGGAGCACCGTATATCACACGCACTGATCAGTTCTCGTTCATGTATTTGTAATAGGGTCGACTGCGAATGAATTGTAAAGAGTAATACAAAAGAATCCGTTCACGCGAGTACAAAATGATTAAGGCTCGTTCCACCAATGTAATATTAACTTTTACCTCGATTTAATTTAATCTTTATTTTTTTCCTAATTTTAAGAATTAGAAAAAAGATAAACATTAATTTTATAAGAATTAGAGAAATATAAAGAGGTAAACCGATTGATGAAATCGCTTACCTAAGCTGCCATATATTATAAAAACGGTACAAGGTAATAATTCTTAAGAGAGGGAACTACATATGCCGAAGCAATAGATGATTTTTGTAATGTAAACTTTCGTAGAATAATTAATCGTTTCATATTTCTTTTTTTCGTCACGTACAACGCGCTGATGTCGAAAGAATAGCGACGTTTATGTCGGTCCCGCACAATTGTACATCCGGTTTCCTTTTGCAGATAATGCATCAATGCGCTTATTTCACGCCGATGCGATGGAGCGTTTAAAAAAAATCTCATTATTTGGTCTATGCGAATCGCAGTATCCGCTACGCCGCTTTCGACTTCGTTTTAGATGGAAATGTAATTAATTTCAACGAATTTATCAACGTTTTATATTTGCGGTGATTGTCATTAAAAACTTAATTAAGTCATCATTAAAAGGTGATGCGTTTAATTTCAACTTTAACGTCTCACAATAACTCTCTTTAAAACGTAAAACTCCGGAAATTCTGTCCCAAATATTCTTCATGCAATCGGTGCGACTTGGCACGTGACACGCGGAGCGGAAACGCGACCGCACCATTCAGGAAAGCACTCACCGTCCGCGAGCGGGGCGATGTTACCTTGAGGCTATTTATTGTGCTTCGTCTTCGTCGTGGAATTCCAGCGTCGGAGAGTCGCGCCGGTTTATAAAGAACTGCGCCTCGTTCGATTCGCGTTTATCTCTCGACCACGACCGAGCGATAATACGGGTCGAGACGCAATAAAGTATTTCGAAAAATATCGACGAGTTTTCACGGTTATTCTCGACAGCGACGTAAACGTGACCACGGATCCCGCGGCACTGATAGGCACCGCGGCAGCGTACGATAACGCGCCTCTAAGCCGCGAAAATAAGCGAGAGCGGGAACGTGACGCCTGCGCGCGCTGAGAAACACGACGTTCTTGTAACACGTGTGTACAGCTTGGAATCATTGATAAGATCGGCTTGTATTTATGATCGGATTTGTTCGATGATGTCATCGTATATCGCTCTACGATAAAAAGTTTTAACTAATCATTTATAAGCCACTAGGAAAGTTTCGAGATTATGATCTATTTAAATTTTCTCGTCCGTAGGGTGATTTGTATGTACGTAAATATCACAAGTGAGTTCTGTCTCCGAAGGACTTGGTTTGAAGACAGCTTCTAATCAAGACTGGGACAGCTGAACGATTGCCAAGTACCGAATTGAGTACCGCGAATCCGCGACGTTAGCGCGGTTGAGTGAACGATCTTTAGCAATTTCTCGGGAATAGCCAATCCTCGGGATTGAACTGAAGGAACCGCGTGTCAGTTACTATTACTATCGAATTTTTTTGCTGCAACAGGCTCGTGCAAGAAACTACTCGAACATCTTTCTAGAACGGTTCCCGATATATATGTTAATAATGAATATATGCTTACGTCCAACTCCAACTTCAATTATACATTTTCCTAATTAGTATCGCTCGTGAGGAATAATAAATGACATTAATGAACGCTCGATATTCCATAAGATCATTACGAGTCACTGATGATTTCATTGATCAATATTATTATCATGAGTAAACTGCATTGCTTTACTTTTGCGCAAACTGATATAAAACATAAAAAAGAAAATAACTCACCTCGAGGCGCTCGGTGGCCTTCAGCAATCTGTCGTAATCAACGGAGTCTTGAACGGTTAACAGTTCCATCATATAGTCCGCTTCTTGAACGGACTGTTGCACCATTTCCAGCTGCCTCTCGAATCGTCGCCATAACTCCAATCTATTCGTCAACAACGAAAGCAGATGCGCGCATCTGGATTCAAGTTCGGTGTGTACATCCTGTATATTAGACAGGTCTCTTTCTATGCTCACTGGCGACACCGTCACTCTCATGCCGGTTGGTAAATTATGCAGCATTTGTCTTAAAGCCATTAGATTTTGCCAGAGGACAGCTAATTCGTTCGCGACAGATTGACAACGATCTACAGCTGCGGCTACCAAGTTACTTTCTTGTCTTTCGCTACCTTCGCATTGATCCAGTATTATTGACAATCTTTTGTGAGCCTTCCTAAAGCGACTTAATCCGTGTTGAAGAGCCTGAATCTTTTCTTTGAGTAGCTGCGCCGAATCTAGTTCTTCGCTTATCTGTCCTTCTATACAACGCGCCGATGTTAATAAAATTCCGACTCGTTCGCTCTCCGCCGCTGGTAAAAGACCTAATCTACCTATCTCGTTTTGGATCAAAGAAATTCTGTCGAACAATATAGTGAGTCTCTCGACGTATAAGTCTAGTTCTTCCTCTGTCTTCAGCACTCCATGGAAACTGTTGATGGTCGTTCGTAATTCATTTAGTTCTCTCTCGAGTAACTTCAGTTTTTTGTTCGACGAGATTTCCTCCGAGGAAATGCTACGAGTGACATCTTTTTGAATCTCATTGATCTTGTCACTAATCTCATTCCAACGACCTTGCAACTCATAGTGAAACTGTCGCTGCAACATTTCGTCCGACAGAGGTATAATTCGTAGAGCTTGCTCGAAGTAGATGTCTGCTTCATTACGCATGTTGTTGTGAACCTCATATTGTGCTTTTAATTCCTGCAAGTGTAAGAAGGTGGCTACAGAATTTAAGATGAAATTTATTTTTAATTACTTGTATAGTTATATCGGAAATTATAGCCGTATAGAAGCAAAATATTGTACACAACTTTTTCTTATAATATGCATTTACATTAGCTGTAGAATTCAGAATACACTACAATACATTAAATGCAGACCAACATTTTTTTTTTAAATAAAAAAAGTAGACGCAACGATTATGATAACGATAAAATGAAGCTAACGTTACGTAATACGTAATTTTCGTTCTCCAAATTTAATCGTACTAAAAATACAGCTCGCGTGAAAGAGAAGACATGTGCTTTCGATGGCACAAGGCCAAATGTGTTGGAAAAATGTAACCTAAATGCAGTTACAAATACAGCCCACCGACAAATATTTTTACTGAATTACTAACAAGTTATATATACATTTAACAAGAATCTAGACATATATATATTTATATATTTAACAAGAATCTAGAATGCTCACCCAGAACTGACGCATAGAACTTCCTGATGGATCATGTAATGTGGTAAGTTCCTTCTCGGCCATTGTTATCCAATGTTCTACGCGATTCGTTAGTATCTCTTGATTATTCCAATTCTCTCTAAAGGCCAGTAGTCTTTTTAGAGAGGATTCGATATTGTCTTGCAGCTTTACGATCACATCTAGAGCTTCACTATATCGATCTTCAGGATCCTCGATGTTGATAAGATCACGGAGGCTACATGCCACACTGAGTAAGTGAATTAATCGTGCATGATGAGTTGCTACATCCGACGATAGAGACTGAAATGTGGCAAATTAATGAATCATTAAAATTAAATGTACAAGATGCCTTAGTAGTGTTTATATAATTACACTAACTTGATATAGGGAGATGTATTGATCATAGTCGGTTGAAGTCACCGTTTGAAGGTCAGGAACTCGTTGATGTGCTACCTGGAGCCATCCTCTTTCTTCCTTTACACCCTGTTCAAGTAGCATCCATCGCGATGCCGCCAAGGCCATTTGTTGTGCTCTTGAAGCTGCCTGATCGAGCAGCGCCGTTGCTTTACTATGTAGTTCTTCATGCAAACCGGAATGTTTGGCTCTGGTTTCAGGATCTAGATTGCCTTCCAGCGATTCGAGAATCGCGCGACAGTGATTCAAATTGACGAAAAATTTTCTGTGTTTTTGCATCTCCTCCTGAAGATGTTCTAGGCTTACTGCTGATATTGGACTGTCCAGTAAATTTTCAGCGATTTCGATAATTTGCGCAAATTCTTGAAGAGTTTGCTCATATTCTTCGGCTAAAGCGAGCAATTGAAGAAGACGTTCTCGTTCGATACATATACTATGTTCAATGATCTTTGTCATCTCGTGTGCTGCGTAGGTTTCTTCGGGTATAATCTTGCTGGGATGATCGCGTAGTAATTCTCGAGCAGCATCAAGAAGACTACTTGTCTTCCACATATGACAGCGATTGGTATTGTCTAGTTTATCGAGTTCCTGTAATTTCCATTGTGTAGAATACTCGCTTTCGATTATGTAATCAAGCTGTTTACGTTGCTCTTCGATTAATCTGTAACAAGAATTAATCATAGAAAAAAGAAAAGGATTAAACTAAAATATTTATTTTTTATCACTTTTGTTTCTGGTTTCAGTGAACAATACTAAAAAATACGTTACAAAAATTTATTAAACAATTGCTATTTATCAATAATTTTATGTAGTGTCTTACCTGTATACGTTATTAATGCTATTTAGAAATTCATCCCATCTTGCGAGTTGCCTATTAGCGTGTTTCTCTCCGTCAATAGTGACATGCTCGATAATTTTTACCTGATGCTCAAGGGCATCTACACATTCTCGTAATTTCTCCCGTTCCTCTTTCGAATAGTTTGGTTCCAATTGCTTCCAAATATCATCGAGCTCACGGACACTTTCTTCTACATTATTCACTTCATCTTTCAATTCAATAAACGTTCTAGCGTCCTCGTGAGAAGGTCCAGTCGGACATTCTCTGTTTAGAAAGATTCGATATTCAATGGTTTCTAGCCAAGTCGAGATTGTTTCGACGACGGTAACGAGAGTTTCTTCTACAACTATCACATCGTTCTCTTGAACAGCATTTTTTAATTGCGCTAATTCTCTGCGAACATCCGATGAGCGTTCTTCCGCGAGTCTTTCTGTGGTGACTTCTTCCAGATGCGCTATATGCAAGATGTTACCTAAATGATTCAATTCGTTGGTATTCTGTAGATTTTTCACTCGGTCAATTATTATTTTAGCTGCTTGCATCGTTTGCGTTCCTTGATATTGCGGTTTAGCGCTATATCCTAAAGATTCCTTTAAAAGAAAAGTCGCAGATAATGCTTGAGGCGACGACATCTGGATAACGGATTCTTTCCACAATTGCGATTCTCTCTTTTCACATATTTCTGCTGGTGTTTCAGATATTATTTCGGCGTATGTCTTAATTTCCGCTCGTAACGGTTTAATATTTTCTTTATTCAGAATAGGTTGCTCGATTTCTGTAGGCGTCAGTGGCTCTTCAGTAGTATCCATTGGTTCAGGTGACAACTGCATAGATGTGAATGGTTTTTGCTCATCTGACGACATTAACAATGGTTCTACCATCGGTCTACCAGGCATAAATGTTTTTCGCATTGTTACTGCTTCAGGTACTTTTGTTTCTGGAATGTAATTCGAGTCGATTACAAATGAATCACTCATCGATATAGGTACTACTTCCGAGATAGTTGGAAAATCCGAGGGTGTTTCCTGACTGTTTTCTTCACGTAGATTTATTTTTTCCATTACAGTTTTTGATGCAATATCTTCCAATTTCACATCTGATTCGATCTGAGATGTTATTTGAGAAGGATATTCGGATTGTCTAAATGTGGATTCAAGCTCTGGCTCGTTTTTGCTCGGTACAGTGATTTCCATGGTCTTATGCTTTCTCTTTCTTTTTTGCCGTTTCGATGCCTTATTATTGTGTTCTACGATTATGTCGTTGAGATCTTCGGCAATTGTGGTATCTTGCGAAGTATCGGTCATTTCCTTGCTACCAGATGCTACACTATCGAGCGTATCACTAGCAGATAATTCTATAGTTGCGTGAACATGGATTTCATACGAGGTATCTGAAGTAGTATCTTTTTCTGATATTGAAGATGGTGTAGATTCTTTTGTTTTTGCAATAGTCTTCGGTTTTGGATGTTCTACCATCATAGATATTTCAGAAAATTCACGTTTCGTTTCTTTTTCGACGGGAACTTTCATTTGTACAATATTTTCTGAGACCATTGTAGGAATCTCTGATATCAGCTTATTAACAATTTCCGCTTCCTCTACAGATTTCACAATTTCTGGTACTTGTACATCATGTGCTGCTGGAGTTTTTTCTAAATCTATCATTTTCTCTTCCTTCTTCATCTCTTCTAACATAATTGAAACGGGCACTTCGCTCAGATCTTCAATTATTCCCGTGTTAAGATCTTCCGTAGATACTTCAACAGTATGAGTGGGAATATGTGTTGTCTGTTGAGATACCGATATTGTCTCAGTTGGTTGTTTCTCTTCTTTTGGTGATGTTTGTGCGCTGATCTCACATACTTCGGGAATATTTTGTATACTTTCTTCAATTTTTAGAATTAATTCTTCTGCCTGTATTTGCACCGAACTATCAGAAGTGTCAGTTTTTGTTAGACAGATTTCTGATGTTTGTGATTCTCCCTCTGTAGTCTGTTTCGTATATTCAATGCTAGTTTGAACAGATTCTTCGCACACTTGCGTAGGTTCTGGACTAACTATAGTTGGACTTGTTTGCATCATAGTCTCTTTGGTTTGCTCAGGCGATTTTGTTTGCATTTCAGATTCCTGCAACTCCACCTTTCGAGGACTCTCTTCAGGTGTCGTTTGTGTCTCTGTTGTTTCAGCAGGAACTTCTGGCTCTGCGATTGTTTGGGTATCTGTATGCGAAACATCTGGTTGTTCCGGACTAATTGGAGTACTCGTTTGCATATCTCTTTCGAAAAATTCTGGTACCTCAGACGACGTTTGAATAGAAATTTCTTGCACAATAATTTTTTCTGCAACTGGTGGTGGAGTAGTCTGTTGCTCGACTTCTGTTACAGTATTTATTGCTGTTTGAGTTTCAGTTGCTATCATTGGAGAGAATTCAACAGGTGAAGTTTGCATTTCAGTGGAGTGAACATCAATTTCAGTCGTCTGTGCTTGAGAATCTTCCGTCTCCACTGTAGCAAAAATAATATCTTCTATTGGACTAGTTTGAATAGCGAACTCTTCCATTGGTGTTACCGTGGGTGTCATAGTTTGTACACCTGAATCTTCGACTTCCGGTGTTTCTTCCACAATAGTTTGCGCGCTAAAATCAAGTCCGGGTTCTAAAAATGTTTGTGTCTCCATATGAGTCTCTTCAGCTTTAGCCGTTTGTATCTCTTCCTCTAAAGTTATCGGTATCGGCTCAGGAGATGTTTGCATGAACGTAGAGAGACTTTCCTCTTTTGGAGTAAGCGAAGTTGATACGTCACATGTTTCTACAGTTGTTTGAGTATTCGCATCATCTAACGTAGTTTTGCGTTTACTTTCTTGTTGTATTTCGATTTCAGTTTCTTTCGTCTCTTCTGGCTTCGTTGTATCTTCTTTTGTTTTATCCTTTGCGGTCACTTCTTTTACTTCAGGCATTTCTAAAGGAAAACTATTGTCTGTGAACGTCGCATCGTCGCTACTAGTTTTGGGTATGTAAGTCAAATCTTCATCTCGAATTAATCGAACTTTTTGCTTCTTCTTCTTCTTCCTTTTCTTCTTTACAGCATCTTCATCTTCCGGCGCGATCGATAATTCATCCATAGTTTTATCATCCGGTTGGTATCCATCGTTCTCTGCCACAATGCTATCGTCTAAGCTTAGAGAGGATTCGGACTTGATAATATCTGCGACGTCAGGTTGTGGTTGTTCACTAGCATGTTTGGACGAATCAGATAATGGAATATTGATCTCCATAGATTCGGCAATTGATGTAGCAATGGAAGTGCTAGATTCTGTTTCTTCTGGTTTTTCCGAAGATTCTGATTTATCCTTGTGTCGTTTCTTTTTTCTACTTTTATGACTCGTAGTATCTGATTTACTCTTTTCTGGTGATTCGATGTGAACATCGACCTCTTTTTCTGCAGTACATAATTGTAAGGTTTCCGTTTCTTTTTCAGCAGTAAGAAAGGCGGTCGTCTGCACAATTTTATCGTGTATTACTTCTGTCGTTTCCTTGTCCGCTGGAAGATTAATATCTACATCTTCTTTAACGATGCTATACGGGGCAATTTCAGGTCGTTCTGCCTGAGTTTTGATGGAGACTAATGGTTCCACTTCCTCATCTTCTTTACGCACCGACAAAGATATTTCCACTTTATGAAACATTGGTTTGTATTCTGGTTTGAATGCTTCATCCCTAGAATCGTCTTTTTCCTCACTTGTGAATTCTGGTGATATTTGTCGTTCTTTAGAAGATGTTTCTGCATTTTTCAATTTTAAAGTAGTTTCTTCCGCGTTTTTGTCAGATTCAGAAATATCTAACTTACTTGTTAAAGCAATCGATCCATTTCCTAGCTCCAATTTTTGAAATGGTGTTAAGGTTGTAATTTCTTTGGACGATTCGAGCGAGACCTCTTTTTCCGATTCTTCTTTCTTATCATACTCTTTCTCTAATACAACGACATTCAATACATCAATATTTTTATCTGCTTCTACAGTGCTGCTATCACCATTGTGCGTCTCTACTTCTACCGTGCCATTTTCTAGCTCGATACTGAGTGTTTCGCTCTTTACTGGTGCATCATCAGACTTACAAGTAGCCTTGGTGACCACTGGTTCATCATCTGTTACGGCTGGCTCTAATGGAGATTTTACAGATTCCGATTGTAGCGTTGTAACATCTTCAACAGGAGTCTGCAAAACGGCAGATCGTTCAGCATCGATTAGCGCTTGATTATCACTCGCAAGTGTACTTGTGCCATTTACCTCAGTAGGGAAGTGCTTGTTTTCTTGTTTGTCCATGATTTGCGATTTAATTTCTGTTTGTGCTACATTTTCGTCACTTTTTACAGTAGAAATATCTTCACCAGCTTGAATATTAGCCAAATTTTCTACTTGTGTTCCGTGCTCTTTCAAAGAAGATAGAACAGTTTGTGTAGAATCCGTTATCTTAGAATAAGTTGTGTCTGTTGTAGAATCTGTTATCTTTATCGTGGGTTCTTCTAACAACGTAGTTTCTTTTTTGTAATTTTCAGTATCCAATGTTTTAGTTTCCAAGATGTCATCTTTTTCCGCAAGTGTTACTGGAGTTTTTGTGATCTCTGCTTTATCTCGACTTACACTCGTTATATCTTTAGCAAATGGTCCAAAGAATGGTCCTTGCATCGGAGTTTCGGAGATATAAGGCCCCATTGACATTTCTGATGTCGTTGCTTCTATTGCCTTTTCCACTGGGAAAGTCTTTTGATCTTCGCTCTTAACTACATTAATGCTGATGTGCGGTATATCCTGCTCATCTATTTCTACTTCTTCAGGCTCTTCAGTCACCTCTTCAGTAGTGATCTCCTTGCCATCTACGATAGTAACCTTTCGAATGATTTTACGCGTTCGCTTAATCACCCGTCTTGTAACTTGTTGCACCACAGCATGAACGCTTGATGTCTTTGTTTGATATTCACCGCCCTCCATCAGGATCTCTTCTTCGACAGGCTGACAGCTGATATCCCCTATCTGACCTTGCGTCACCATGCGTGTGTAACGTGGTTCGGATTCGTACTCTTCCACATTGATACCTTCGATGGGCGCGCTTGTTGTAACTTTGCCGCCGTAAATTTGCCTTGTCGTAGTCTCGATGGTACCATCTGGTTTTGTCCTGGTCATGGTGACTTGTTGATCTCTCATCGCAGCCTCTGAGAAAGCTTGCATCATCGTCGGCGTTTCTCCAACCGCTGTCGACAGCGTGGATACTTGCTGTTGTGTGGTCTGTCTGCTGGTGACTGTAGTACGTCGTAACTTTCTTACAATTATTCTCTTGGTGCCGTCAGCGTCAACGACTATTTCGGTAGTGATGTCGTCTGGTTCGACTAGAATCGTTTCAAAAGACTGTGGTGCAGCGTGAACAATGTTTAGCTCGCTCGTTGCGCTATCGGTCTTTTTCGCGTCTTGATATTTCATATCGACAACGATATCTTCGCTGGACAGAATGCTGGATTGTTCCCGACGCGCTATTTCTTGACTAGAACTAGACGGTACATATTTGGTCGCTATTTCGATTACATCATGATCGCCCGTTGTAGTTTTTAAAACCTTTATAGCTTCCTGCGTTTGAGCAGTCTCGCTCGGCAATAAATCTTGTGATGTCTGCGTGGTGAGAGAATGGCACGTAGTTGAAGGCGGCATTTGTGTTGTAGACGTCTGTTTGGTGAGTTGTGCTTTTCTTTCGACAACGTCGTCGATTAGTAAACTTTGACCTGTCTGTAAAGAAACGTCAGCCAAAGATGGCGGACCGCCTTCTATGGAGGAATGAATTGAAGGTGCTTCATCCAAAGTAGCATTATCTCTCTCTGTCGATTCATCGTCAGCTTGAGCTTCCTCATCACAGATCTCCTACGAGGATAATAATTTTGTTGAAATAATATACTCGCGGCATTATTATAGTTTAGATATTTATTGCAAATGTATTTGTATCTATTTCTGTACATGTTTCGAACTAATGAATACGTTCTTATATTAAAAATTATTATTTATTATTTTAAATAAAGGTAATTATAAAAAATAAATAAAATATTAGGTTTATTTTTTCTTTTTGTTAAACGGATTAAAACAGAAACTAAGACAAGGTAATATTCAAACTGGAATTTATTAATTTATTTGATTAGTATGCAACGATGGATAATAATCGTTTATTTAATACGAAAATGGTTTCTGATAATATTTCTATCTAATTTTTGTTATATGAAATTATTTGTAACATGTTATAGCTTGTGATAATTAAATTATATATAACTATATATAAACTAATATAAAAAAGATCTATTATTATTTTTTTTATAATAATAAATAAAGTTAATTATCACACAAGTATTGACACATTACAATTGGATAATTTAGATTTTTAATAAAAATAATATATGAATAATATATGCACACATTTTAAAACAGTTAAATTTAACGATTTTATCTATCGGTCAGTATGTCGTACATATATACATACTTAGAAATTATTATTTATATTATTTTTATGTCGAACTAAATATGATACATAAATATCATATTTGACGTACAATAAAAGGAAGAGGGACAGGTATTAATGACAATTTTCTTTAATTACATAAAATATTATAGCAATGTATTAACATTCCTTGATTACATGCAATGCCTATATTACATCCATCACCTTAAGAGAAACGAAAATACATAATAATTACATGATACAAATAATGTACAATGAACTAAGAAGTAACGTACGGTGCATGATATCTATAGTGAAACGATGTGCATGATGAGAAGCGCATGTGCTTGTAGCGACGACGGTGAAGGAAAAAGAAGAAAAAAATATTCCCAATATAATGTTTTGTGCCATTAAACGATTTATATCCGTATAAGCATGCAAAAATAAAACTGTTTTATTAAGCTCGACTAGAATGTCTATTGCCGACAGTTGCGTTATTTATTACCTCTTATTACAAAGCATTCATTATCATCTAATTGACGTACATTGTTTCCGGAATGACTATCCAAATTCAAAGGCACTATTTCAGACTCTTAAAGACTCAAAAGATTAAATAATTTTAATGCAGATTCACGATGTTTACGTGAAAATGAGAAATATTAAATTTTACGTACTATCAATTTATTTTATCCGTTACTCATACTTTTTTATCCGCTGTACAAAGCTTATCAGCTTTGTAATAATCGCAAAAGTTGTAAGTCTTTTATTTTCTATTCCCAGTAGAATAGCGAAGCTTTGACAAGTTTCAAAAATGAAACATTTATTTTTCCGAATTCTTTGTAATATTGTTTTAAGCAACCGAGCCACCATGAAGAGTAGTAATATTTGCAAAAGCTCCTGAAGCGTTGGATACCTGCTGCTTTCGTTGGAGACGGTCAATTACATCCAAAAGGGCTTCCTTCAGCGCTATCGCTAACGCGCTTACTTCCGGCAACGATTCGAGTTCTGAGACTTGATGTGCGCGACTTGTTAATTCTTCCTGTAAAGCCTGTTCATTATGATAAATAAAAAAATCGGTATTATTTTGCGAGCGCAATGAATAATGTATTATACTATTTATTTAATTAAATTAATTTTCGACGACATTAAACCAATACTTTAATATATTCAACACAAAACTTTATTTAATATATTAAAAAAATATAAAATTTTATATATTTAATATAAACTACTAATTTATGATTAGAAATAAAGATCAACATTTTTACATTTGACTCTCTAAAAAAAGAATACGTATCTAATTTCATTGATTTTTTAATTATTTTTAAAAAATGTTGAATATAAATTATAAAAATCTAAAATAGTAGATCTAATATAGTTTCACTATTTCATATCTTCTAATAAAAAAGTTTATATTGAAACAGACCTTGCTGGTATTAACTGAATGTTGCTCATGTAATTTTGATACGATACTTCTTAACCAAGCATCTGTCTCTTCGAGGAATAATTTGTAGGTATGAATCTCTTGGCCACGTTTCTCTCGGCTTTCTCGTGCCTGTTCCAGAGTTATCCTCCCTTTTTCTGCTTGATCGAGAAGAGAAGTCACGCGTGTCTGAATTCCCGTTAACGCTACCGAGAGTTTTTGAGATTCAATGTCGGCAGGAATTTCTTGTAATCGCTTTTGAAGTTGCGTAGCATCCTTATCGTAGGTGCGAAGTTCCATTAATATAGTCTTAAAAAAAAATGGAGAGAATTTTTTAAACCTTATAATAATAAAATCAATTAAGACTCCTTATATATAATTAAAAAACAAATTAGAGAGAATAAAGGACAATAGGAGTCGGGCGCAGAAGACGTCGTGCAATTAAAAAACACCACTAATAAGTAACAAAAACCATTTATTAGAATAACGCTCGTTTATTGTGATAATAGTGCTCTCTAGGTTCTTATTATGAGCGCTACTATCATAATAAAAGAGCGTTATTCTAATAAATGATTTTTGTCACTTATTAGTGGTGTTTTTTAATTGCGCGATGTCTTCTGCGCCCGACTCCTATTGTTCTTTATTTCTCTCCAAAAGAATTTTTTAATTTTATAATAGATCAATTGTTTTTTCCGATATACATTTCTGTATATAAGAAAATTAATCTACTAGGATGATAATACGAATTTAATAGAAACTTTTCAATTTTATTATTTTTTAATTTAATTTAATTAAATTTTTAATGATTATATATATATATATATATATACATACAATTTTTTCTTGTTTGTTTTATATTCTTACCATAAGAGATGAAAGCATAGACTCTATACTATCTCGAGGCAAATAGCTCATCATTCCTTCGAGATTCGAAAGTCTTGCTTGTAAAGAAGCGAGGCCTTCTTCGACATCCTAAAACATAAACGATTGTTAGCAATTTTATCGTCAATCATGAGATTTATTACTACTTCAATCATGCCGTGCACACGACGGAATTCAATGAATTTTCACGCTGATTATTAATCCTATTAACTGAAAACTCTTAAAACCTGTAAAAAAAGATGTTATTTTATAAAATAGCATACTACAAAATACAATAAAAGCACATTGATGACGACAACTCCTTGAGTTCTGTTATGGAAAGATGTACAAACATTCGTTGCTGTATGTAAAGAGATAAATCCTCATCATGCAAATTGTCAGTTGTATTTTGGGACATCTCGTTAAGCAATTCGAATGCAAAGACCTGTCACGTAAAGTTGCCAGCAACCAAAAGTAAAAAAAAATCAGGAACACTGCGTATTAATTTTTATTTTCCATGAGAGCTATTGATAATTTTCAATTATTCTGTATTATTTCGTTGATACTTGATATTATCGCTCGTTTCATTATCAATTCTTAATATTACAAATTATATACAATAGATTATTTATATATATTAGCTGTACAAATTAGTTCGGTCCGTTTTTTGTATTCAAAAATGCATTTATTTCTAAACAAAATGAATGAACAAATTAATTAAAGTATTGTCCATCGCTGGCAGTAGCAACTTTTTCTCATCTCTCAGACAATTTTCGAATTCCATCTCGAAAAAATGACTCGTCTTTGGAGGCGATCATCTTTTGGAAAACGAACCGAACTAATTTGTACTCCCAATATATATATGTATATTGATATCTTTCAGTAAGCATAATATGTAAGCTATTTAAGTAACAACATATATGTACACAAAAAGCATATTTAGAAGCGGAATAATCATGCAAGTATTACAAACTATATATTTTAAAAAGGAATATTATATTATCGCTATTTCATGCGAATGACATAATATTATACTAATTAATTTCATTTTATTACATGTATTCATAAAAAATTAAAACGCTTTCTGAGATTAGGATGAGTTTATAACAATAATAATAATTCGATAATAGCGAGTAGGGAGAGCAGCAATAATGATATGTATGTATGGGTTGTAATTGACGACACAAGAAAATCACACACATTGGATTCAATATCGAACAAGAAACAGAAAAACGTAGTCGTTTTACAAAAATGAGAGACAGAGAGAGCGAAAAACCAGTGGTAGACAATCCAGATAACTAAATACAACACGTATATATACATAAAGATGTATATATACATAGCAGCGGACTTGGTTCAAATTTGACTAGAACAAGACCGAGCACTGGCTGTGACGGTGATCGCACCTGGATCTTGCGTATCCTTTCAGCCTCGCCTTTAGCCGTCTCTCTCTCCACCTCCCCGTTCGGGCTGCACCGTTGCACGGATCCCTCCCTCGTCTCTTTACCTAAATGTAGTTTGGATTGTGGAAGGTGGACGAGGGTCGATGATTCGGTGCAAGTGTTAGGATGATCGGAACTTTGGAAACTATTCGAAGAAGAGACAATAGGATATTCCCTCGGTGTTATTTCATTTGCAAGAGACTCCATGCGCGATTCGGTCTGCGGATCCTGGGAGGGAGGGGATGATGACTGGAATTCAGGAGATGACTGGACTTCGTTTGGCAACGAGTTATCCACAGATAAACTCGATTGTAATGTTGGATCCTCGATCGTGCCCAGTAGTAGATTGTGATCCATTGTCCGCTCGCTCTCGCTCGATATATAAGTGCTATAGTCGCTCCAGCTACATATGCCACCGGGTAGATCGGCTATCATACGCTCTGTCTGAGGTGTACCCAGAAAGGAACACGAGTTTCCACAAGAATCCCATGACCTACTACCACCGCCTCCACCGCCCGAATTGTCGTCGTCGCGATCTTGGGGACGATCGTTGGAATCACGTTTATTATCGCGTGAGAGATTTTTTTTTCTACGTAAGGCTAAGTTCTCGAAATGATCACGCTCGGCTTCGTGATAGGGTCGTTTGTCAGGCCAAAAACCATCATCGATGGACAGGAACCACGAATTACACAAATCAGTTGTAGATTGTTCCTGCAGGAAGGATGTCGATGGGTGATCGTGCTTTCGTCGATCGGGATTTAGAACTAAGATCTCATCCGCTATATAGAACTGGACTTTAGATTTGGATGGCTCATCAACTAAAATATCAGAATTTTCTTGTTCGATACTTGCAATGCACTTCAATTTATCTTCGTCTTCGAAGGATTGTTGCACAGTTAAAGACAATTTATCTGACGGTAGAGAATGTTTTATAACTGCATTTACCGAGTCACAAACTGAATTAACTGGAGTTTCCATTCCGATTTCGTCAACAGAGTTATTTATTTTATCTGAGATCGATACCGATTCTATTTTGATAATATCGTTGTTAATTGTAATATCACGCAGTTTCAAAATATCATCAAGTTTTTCTGTTTGAGATAAGTCAATTTCAGTTTTTTCTGTCAAAATGATGCTATCGGCGGAAGATACTTCTTCGACTTCAGGAATATTTTCTTTTAATTCTTTAATGTCTTCTTGATTAATTATTTCTGTGGCAATAGAGAAATGGTCCTTGTCAGTTATATTCTTTGGAGAGAGAGATTGTAAAATTTCAGTTGATTCATCGTTTAATATTTGATCTTTGACATTTTCTTTTGTAGTTTGCGTAATGTCGTGTACCTCTATGTTTTTAGATAAATTTATTTCAGTATTTTCTACAATAGACAGAGTTTCGATTTCCTTAGGCTCAGTTGTAAACATAGTTGCAAAATTTTGAGACTTAGTTTCATTAATTTGTTGTCGTTTTTCTTTCTTTGATTTCGATTTACTTTTAATTTTTTGTTTGTCTTTTGGCAAAGTTATATGTGGAAATGAGGTTTTATTTTCAATTACAGTTTCGAATTTCTTCAAAGGCTTCTCAATGTCTTCTTCTTGTGCAGATTGTATTTCAATTATTGACCCATCGTCTACTTTATCTTTCGATGATGTGATTTCTTTTATTTTAATATTTTTAACGGTACTTATATCTTCAGATGAATCAGTAAATTTGCTCTGGGTAATTTTTAATTTTTTCTTCTGTTTACGTTTTTCTGCTTTTGTGAATTTAGGAATTTCTTTTTCTTCTGTTATATTTGCTTCTATTTGTTCTAAGTGAGTTTCATTTTTCGATTCGTCAACTATCATCTTCTGTTCAATACTTTCTTTTTCTATAGTTTCATTTTCTGTAGAAATAACTTGTTTAATATTTTCTTGTTTCTTAATTTCTTCTGGAGTTTCTTCACTTTCTGGATGCGTAAGTACATTATATGTTATATCTGTAGTGATCGCTTTTACTTCATCTAATTTTGGTTCTACTGGCAATTCTATTTTCTTTTCTAAATCTCCAGCTATAACTGTCTTTTTGTCTATGTCAGAAATACTTTCACTCAGTTGTTCAATTACTAATTTTCCCTTTTTATTTTTCTTTTTTATAGATTTCGTAGTATTGTCTTGACCTGTAATCGGAAGTGCTGTCACATTTTTACATTTATTTTCTTGCGCATGCTGTGTATCTTTAATTAACTCTGTTCCTTTTACTGATTGATCTTTAATATTTTCTAATTGGATCTTATTATGTTCTGTTTTGTTTTCATTTGCAGATTTTTTATCTTCTTTCGGTTTTTCGATATGTTTTAATTCTTTGTGTTCATTAACTTCAGATTGCTGTTTCATATGATCTTTACCAACTTTGTTTTTCGACTTCATCTTTTTACCTTTAAGTGCTGTGCTTGGTTCGGATTTTGTTCCTTGAACAACTTTATTCTCAATATGACTTTTATTTTCTGCAAACTGCATTTTATTTTCATTCGAGTCATTTTCCTGTTTGTCTTTATCTTTGCTGTTAGATGATTCGGCATTTTCTTCTTTAATAATCTTTGTCAAATCACCACTCTCATTAACTGTTTTCTGTTCATGTTCAGCTTTCTTTACAGATTGCTTAATCTGATTTTCAATCTCCTCTTTAGCTTTAATATCTTTATTATTTTCAGATTTTATATCTGGTGTTTTTATTTCTTTTGCGTATCTATTATCTTGCCTAGCATTTCGCGAACGCGATCTAGAACGTCTAGAGCGTAACTCCTTTCGATTAACAAATTCTATAAAACCTTGTTCATCTACCTGAACTAAATTCTCTATTGGTTCTTGTTTAGGAGCCTCCTCTACATAAATCTGGACTTGCATCGGAAGTTCTATATTTTGTTCTGATTTAGGAAGACTTGGATCGAGATTATTAGTATCATTAACTTCCGGTGATTCTACAGATTTTTTACCAACTATTGCAGCCCATGTATTTTCCGGTTTTACATATGTTTCGTTATCTTTTGTATTGTTTAGATTATCAGAGATAACCATTGCTTCTTTTTCCACTTCTTTTACCCAAGGAATTGATTCTTCTTGGGAAATGAGATTTGTAATAACTGTTTGATAATCGGAAGACTGTACTACCGTTTTATCTTGTTTATTATCCTCTTCTAATGGACTTTGTAATTTCTCTGTAATAAAATCTTCGTGCGTTTCATCTGAAATGGGTGTTTTTACATTGATCGCTAAATGATCTGTCTTTAATGGAATAGATTTAACTAAATACGTTTCTTCTTGAGAAATCTGGAGAGAAGTTCTTTGCGAGGAGGCTGTAACTTGCGCGTAAGATTTATTGCCTTCTTTAATGTGTTTCAATGGTTCTGTGGATTTTTCCTCGATCGATTTGATTTCATCCACCATTGTTGCCTTTAATTCTTCGATGACATTTTTACTTATTTGGTTTTCTAATGAAGGTAAATGCATTGTAAGTGTTTCTTCTTTTGATGAAATTTCGCATGAATCATACTCAGTTGGCGTTTGCGATTGTTTTACGACATTTGTAACATTATCATTTGTATCTTGAGTAATAACGGCTGTTTGAGTGTTTGAAAAATCATGTTTTGAAGCAACAGTTGTTTCTGTTGTACCTCTTGTACTAACAATGGCTGCCCACGATTTAGCATTCTGATTTAATTGTTTGTCATATTTAGGTACATCATCCTTTAACTCCTGTTGGTTTTCTACAATTGGTGATGCTTCAAATACATATGATTCGAGTTTTGTCGCTTTAGAGAGAACAATACTGTCATCTTTATTTATATTACCTTCACATTTCGCCGTTGCTATTTGCTCTTTAAGGATAACTTCAGATTTCTGGTTTTGTTTTTTGGATTTTTTATTGGATTTTGACTTACGTTCTTCACGTTTCGATAATGACTTTTCACACTCTTCTTTAATTGTATCTTGCAAATTTGGTTTTGATACAGATTCATCTGAGGAAAGTTTTGATTTTACTTTATCTCTTTGCGACTCAGTTTGTTCTTTGTCTACTATCAAAGATTTTTCTGCTTCTTTTGTTTTACAATCACTTTCATTTTCTAATTTACGTTCTTCTTCTGAATTATTTTGTAACGATAAATCATCTTTACTGATGTCTATTTTAATGTCCTCACTTTGCTTGCTTGCAATTTTTATCTTTGCTTGATCTTTAGTTTTGACTTTAACATGTTTTGATTCTTTTTTTCTTCTCGGTTGATTTTTTGTTTTATCGCTTTGCTTTTCATCCATAGCCGTTTCATTTTGAATGTTTTTTATATCAATATGATATTCATCTTTTACAGCAATTTCTGTTAGAGATGTACCATTTAAAATTTCAGTTTTTTGTTCTTTGGCCTCAATTTCTTCATGTTTCTCAATTGCACTTTTCTCTTTAATTTCTTCCGGTTTTGCAATTATTGCTTCTTTTTCAATGTTTTCTTGTTGTTCTTCAATAATTAGTTCTGTCTGCTCAACCTTGTCTTCTTGTTTTTCAATTACTGATTTTTCCGTTTTTGTTTCTTTTTCCTCGATTTGTTGTTCAGTTTTTGCTTCTTTTATTTCATCGTCTTTTTCCCCTTTTTTAATTTGGTTGTCTTTTATTGTTTCTGTTTCCAATTCATCAAAATCATCATCAATTATTATTTCTTCCTCAAGAAGAGCCATCCAAGCGTCATCAGATTCTAGGTGTACAGATGATACCTTAGCTGGTATTTCTTTAACTTCTTGATCGGTTACAATATTATTGTTTATAACAATTTTGTTTTCTTGAATATTTATATCTATTGTACCATTTAACTGATTATTACTAATTTTTTCAGTGGATTCAACGGAGACATTCAATTCTGTAATTGATTGTGGTATTGAATCATTAGTAATATTAATTAAATCTTTTACATTATTATTAAATAGCATATTATTAGCAGATGTGCTAACTGAAGTTATAGTTGGTTCCCGAATTTCTTCAATTAATTGTATACACGATGGAACTTCTACATTTTCAGAAATATTTTTGGATAATTGTTTTTCTTGTATCTGTCCTTCATTTGCCCGATCTTGGCTTTCAACATCTATCAATTTTTTATCTACCGTTTCATTAATTATATTTTCTTTTGTATTAAATGTATCGTCAATATCGTCCTCGATCATTATTGGTTCATCCAAAATACTCATCCAAGAATCATCTGAAATTAAATGTATAGATTGCTGTAAATCTTTTGGTTTTTTATCTTTATTATCCTTTGTTTCAGTTGCTTCAAGTTTCTTTATAATCGCAATTGTATCGTTTGTAGAGTCAGACATTATATTTGCTTCTTCCTTTTTGTCAACAACTTGTTTCTCTCTTTCTATTGCAGTTTTTACAGATATTTCAGAGTCATCAGAAGAAACAGATACGGATTTTTCAGGCATAAATTTCATTTTAATCCATTGCGACTCAAATTCATAAAAACTGGTGATCGGATATTTTGGTGCTTCTACGATGAGAGCACGTTTTCTAAAATTGCTTTTATTCATTTCTTGATTCGATGATTTAATATCAATCGGTTTCATCACCGAGTCTTGTACGATTCTTTCTATGCTTTCTGGTCTTGTATGAACTGTAACAGTAGGTTGTACTTTTTTTACTACTTTGACAACTTTAAAATAACGGTGAAAATTACTTTCTGCATGATTGTAAGCATGGCGGTCCATAGCATAAGGTTTAATAAGATCTAATAAATATTCAGGTACTATTTTCGTTTTTATTTTCGAACTTCCAGATATTTCTTCACTTTTTATTTTTTTGATTGTGCATTCACTTTCACATTCCATCACAAATTCTGTTTTTTTATCTACCTTTTCCTGAATATTATCAGCTATTGTATTAACAACATTGACATTATTTTCATTTATACATTTATTGTTCTCAATTAAAATATTTGAATCAGCCTGACTAATTTTATCACTTAATATAATATGATTATTTTTAATTGAATTATCAATATTTTGGTTTTCTATAATATTGTCATTTTGTAAAATAGTGTCAACAGCAATAATTCCTGATGTTGTTATAACCGTATTCTCCTTTTTATTATCATTCTTTTGTTTTTCTTCAAGAACTTCTACCTTTAGTTGATTTCCTAATTTTTCCTTACTATTTAATTGAGCAATAACTTCTCCTTTCTTTTCTTCGGGTGGAGTCATTGGCGGGGATTTCTTTGACATATCGCGACTTTCTGAAGTGCTTGAACAAACCCTTCTCCTATCGCGCACGCTACCGAATAGGGCCATTTCGTCGAATATCACAATATTCTCGGTGGAAGTCGGGGAAGTTAAACCTATTTTTTGAGAAATCGCTGCCTGATCCGATTGCACATCAACGAGAGAATCATTCGGTACCCTAGCGTAAGTAGTAGTAAGACTAGCCTCTACAGTTTCAGGACGCAAAGTGATTAACTCGGTAACTTTGGAACCTACAATTTTAGGAAGGGGTATGTTTTCTATTATCTCTACTGATTTAACGGACTTGACATCGAGTGGCTTGACCTTTACCGATCTTGGAACGCTGGTGGTAGTTGTTACGGTAGTAATCATTTTCTCTATAATCAAAGCCTTCCCTGTCGGAGACGGTTGTTCGGATTCTAAATTATTATCATCATCTGTATGTTTTTTATATACTTGAGCTTTGTTGACCGAATCGTTTGAAGCTTTAGAATCCGATTCAATTTCAGCTTTATTCTTTTTCGATGATTCTTGCGTATTTTCGACATCAACATTATCAATTTTCGCAAGAAGAGAGAGATTTGTAAGTCTTGGGATTTCTTCTTTCTTTGTTGAATCATCCTTGAAAACGATTTCCTCTTGGAACTTATCGTAAAAAGATTGTTTCGTTTGTTCAGCTGTATGCTTAGGAGATAGACGTTCCTTTTTCTTTATACGTTTTGACATCTTTTCCTTAGGTGCAACGTCTTTCAATTTTTGAATATCCTGCTCTTTCAGTAGAGAATTCTTATCATTTATATCGGTCTTAATGTCTTCGTTTTTAATAATTGTTCCTTTATGATGATCGAGTTTTCCGTTTTTAATGTTCTGATATTTTTCTTTCATGTCCGAAATGGTATTATTTATTTCTGAAGAAACTTCAGATTTTTTAGGAAGTGTTTCTGTAGTAGAAATTTCAACAGTCTCGGATACTGTAGAAATAGACAAATCCGTTTCAGGTACTGTTGTGAATTTTTCAGTTGACTTATTAACTTGGCCGAGTACTATATCTTCTCCCTCGTCTATTTTAACGCTGTGGTTATTTTCAGGATCGGTTTTTGATTGAACAAGACAGCTGTTATTAAGCACTGATACATGTTGCTGAGCCAAATTCGTTTTTTCCGAAAATTGTTCTGGGATGACAGTTTCTTTCGAAGGTGCAATTAAAAATTCGGTGCTAAGTTCATCTTTCTTTTTATCAGTTTTATTTTCGACACGCTGCGGTATTTCAGCACCATTTTCTTTTCTTTTATCTTGAATATTAGACTTCACTTTTTCGGATTTTTTTTGTTTCGTTGTTTTTGTCTGACATTTCTCTATTCCTTGTCTTTTAGTTTTCTCAATTATTTTTGTATTATTATTATTAATAGCTTCTTTTTCACCCATTGTATCGATCTCTACATTTTTTGTCGTAAGGCTTTCCACTTCTAATTTAGCATTTAGATGATGCTCTGTTTCTTTGTTTTCTTTAATTTCAGCTGAATCACATGTTTTATCATTTTGTACAATTTCCTGTGTTATTTGTTGATGTCTTTTAGGCAATAAGATTTCTTTCGAAGTTTTAACTACTGCTGCTTCTGCCATTTTAGCTTCATCGATCATTTGTTCTGATATTGGAACGTCATGTTTTTCTGTATCATTTAAATTTATTTTAGTTTTATCCAAAACTTTGCTTGTTGAAATTATAGATGAAGAATCAATTATGGCCTCAGATTTTATTTTATTTTTAGAGACCTTGTTTTTCTTTCGAGGGTTGATTTTACCTTTTTTGCTTTCGTTTACATCGCTAGCAATTTTTGTAATATCAAGCTTCTTTGATTCGAAATCTTTTATTTCAATATCAGTTAGTGATTTAATTGATTTTAAAGTTTTGTTCTCAATTACTTCTTTAGTACTGATTTCGAGCTTTTCTTGATCTATGTTACTTTCTTCAGCTTCCAGTTTCAACTCATTTGATTTTATCTTATTCTTTTCTCTTTTTGAAGCATCTTTATGTTTTTTTATATTTTCAATTTTTGTAGACGTATTTGTCTTTTCACTTGCATCTTCCGATTCGATTTTTTGAGTAACTAATAATTTTACATCTTTTATTATATTATTTTCATCGACGACATTTATTTTATCCTTTTTGTTATTACTTAGAACATTTGATTGATGCTGTATTTTATTTTCTGAAGAATCTCTGTTTTGTTCTTTGGTTTTTGTATCTTTATCAATTTTGTTCTTACATTTTATTACATTGTCGGAATTGTTAGAATTAATATGGCTATTGTTGTCGATTTCTAATTGATCTTTCAACATTTCCTTGGTAATATCTTTTTGGACCTCTTCATCTTTGGAATCTGTGACTTTTGCATCCTTTGTATCTTTTTTATCTTCTACATTATTTTTTAAAATATTTTTATCGCTTCCTTTGATTTTACTTGGCAATATGGCGTGTTCCATAGATACAGTTTCTCTTGTTCTTGTTACTTCCTTAGATTTTCTTGATTTCTTGGACTTCTCACCTGATTTGCTTTGTTTCTTATCAACTTCATCGTTATGTTTTTCTATCATCTCATTAACAAAATCTCGAGATTTAATTTCTTTATTCTGTTCTTTAAGCTTGTCTTTCTGAAATTTCATTTTTTGTTTATCCATATTTTCAATTTCTTTAAGAGCTTTGTCTATTTCATCTCCGACTGATTTATCTATTTTCTTTTTCTTTTGTCTTCGTTTCTTTTCTTGCGATGGATTTGTATCTAAATCAACTGCTGATTCTTCTTGTTGCACTGGTTTTTCCTCTTTTTGCATTGGATTATCGTTGATTTTATCGAGAAAAGATTCGTCTTGCGTTTCCAATTGCTTCGGCGGAGTTAATTTTTCGTTCTTTTGTTTCTCCTTTGATTTATCGATAGACTTTCGAGATTTTCTCTCATCCGTCTGTTTAATTTTGTCATTCGGATGCTGTTGCCTCTTTCTAACCTCTCGTTTCTTCATTGTATCCCAATCGTTTTCTTTGAATTGTTTAAGTTGCTCGGACGTAACCGCGAATGATTGCGACTCTTGCTTGGATTTCGGTTCCTGCAATGGTGACAGTTCGCGAGAAGATAACTCGAGTGACTCTTTCGGTGAATCAGAACGTTCCTTACTTTGATAATTCACAGCTGCCGATTCGCTAACGATGCGTGTCGAAGTAACACGTGGACTGAGTCCATGCGAAAGTATTTGCGCGTATGAAAAGGTTTGCCCTTTGGTTTCCATATTATTCAGTGATGATGTATTTCTTTCTTCTGTTTTATTCATTGTGGAAGTTTCTACATTTGAAATATTTACAGATTTTTGCTGTTCAGGTTTATCGATAGGTTCGGTCGCACTCATGTCTTTAGGAACTTCAGATTGTCTAACTACTGACACTTCAACAGGCTTTTCCATCACTATTGTAGTTGTATGTCTCATATCATCAACGGGTTGCTGCATCTGATTCTGTTGATAAATTTCCGATGCCGAGAGATATGTGGTTTGCGCAACGTAATGTTCTGGCGCGTAAGCTAAAGAACTGTTATCATAAGGATTTAAGCTGATTTGATCGAGTTGCTGTACTTGTTGATGATGGCCGGACGGCGCATAAACGTACGAACTTACTGGATACGTTCCGAGATGAGAGCCGATAAAACCTACTAATTCCGGCATCGTCTCCGGTATCATATAATCGTAGATCTCCGTTGGTTGCTGTTGTCTTGGCACATTCTTATAAGATTTCACATGTTGCATTACATCGTAATCTTGCAAAGACTCATCGGTCCAATTAGTTGGTTCAGATTCGGTATAATTTTGATCCTCCGTTTTCTCCGTAGAAATTTCAGGTTGACAGTAAGTCTCTGCGATTTGCATGTTTTCCGCTTGTATTTCTTGCGTCGGCACAATTTGCTGGACTTCTGTGACTTGTTGAGACTTTTCAGTGTTTGCGGTATCTTGTTCCGTGACTTGTTCCACACGAGGAACTTCCATTTGACCCCGTCGAGATTCTTCGGATAAAGAAATCATTTTTTGTCTAGGTAGTTGCGCAGGAACAGTGTTAACCTGCGTCGTCTGTATACATCCACGAAGGATGTCAGCATAGGAAGTAGAACCAGGAACCCACATGGGACTGGGCGAACGTCCTCTTCGTTCTTCACACGGTGCTAAAGTGTTCTTCACGGACTCTGTTTGCATTTCTTGCCCAGAATTTGCACCAAGTCCAAGATTATCACGCTTGTTAATTTCTCCTTGTTGATCAGCTATTATTTTGGAGTCTTTCACTCTGAATGAATTTGTCTTGCGTGTAGGCGATCGTCCTCGACGTGGCATGGGTGATTCGACTTCGGGTACAGCTTGCTGATATTCTTCCGCACCAACCGTATTTTGATCATCTGTTATTTGCACGAGTGTCTCGGTTTGCAATTGCGATTTTGATTTATTTATGTTTGTGTCATTTTTCTGAATTTGCGCCTTTGAGATTTGTACCTCATCCAACGAAGGAGGATGTTCCATAATCAACTTTTGAGCTTGCATAGGTCGTAATACTTGTGCGGTCATGGTGGGAGGAGTGACTTCTCGTTGATGTCTATATGGACTACAGTTTCTCGAGCTTGGACTATTGGTACGTCCTGCTGCAATGTCGGCATACGAGGCTTGGCCTATGAACCGGTACTCGTTGGTAGGTACGTAGTATGGATCCACCTCGTGTATCTGATCCACCAGTGTCTTGCTGCGTTGCTTCCAATCCTCCACCCGTTGTTGCAGGCTCTGCTTTATCCACCGCGGAAGATCAGCCAAGGCACAGCAATGGAATACATACACTATGTCAATTTTGAGGAGTCTCTTTACATTCATCATGGGATGGGGGGCGGTATTATTTTTAAAGCCAAGATTTTTATTTGAGCAAATCGCATTAGAGTATATCAAAAACCTCTCTGTGTACGTAAGTAAAATGAGTGGATTTCGTGAATGAATGTATTTGAACATCGATTGACAGTAAACGAGTTTCTTTATTTTCTTTATTCAATCACATCGTATGGCTATTTAAGCACAGTTATTTAGGACAAGAAACGCGCGCTCATACATGGTAATATAATCGCGTTTATAATCTCGTAAAGTGATATCTATTAGAAAATCAGTGCTTGATAAAAATTTACTTAGAAAAATTACGTGGTACTAAATTAAGTCGTTTGATCTTATTGAAAAGCATTGACGACGAAGGTGAGAGTGAAATTTATTTTGTATTTGTTCTCGCCTTTATCGTTAATGTTTTCTTCGATCACGTTTGGCACGTGTAATTTGACAGGCGGCGGCTATCATCGTCGTTATTCATCGACAATAGCGAGTAAGAATTGTAGAACCGAAAACAGATGAGATATCTTTTATTCATGACACTAATAAACGAAGATAACGACGATGAGGGCCGGATTTGTTCAACGGGGGTAGGTCTCTATTGTCATGGGTCCAAGGGCTCCAAGACTGGTGTGCCGCGTTGTACGAGTAGTTTAGATCTCTCAGTGCGCGCCTGAATTTTACTCTGCAAGGATTTGATTTTCTCGCGATAAATCTAACCGCATACAGAATCACAAATCGAGAGCGTTAACACGTCGAACGAGCGAGAGGGACGGAATAAGATTGGTGAGGTCACGACAGTTTTATTGATGAAGCAGACGTTCAGTAAAAAGGAAGAACGCAGTGTACGAAAAAGTCATGATGAGCAAAGTGGTAACGATTTTGGTGACAACATGGACGTAAACGACGATAATCGCAAGAGGAAGTAGAAATACGATAACGACGGAGTTTGCGAGGATAATGACAGATAAAGAAGCACAGGTAATCGTTGGAAATGACAAAGGTATAAAGGAACAAGGGATACAGCAAAGAAAAATTCATAAATGAAACAACTGGTAACGAAATTAATGCGACGAAATAAGAAAAAACAGATATATAATAAATAAATGAAAATTAATGCATATTGTAAGAAAATAATTGTAGCGTTTTATTTGTGTCTCGCGTGGTCTCGACACGCGTCTTGACATCGGAGGTCACTTGATTTTCCTATGGCTTTTACAGCTATACGATTGTTTTTCTGAATTATGGAAGTCTAACATAAAGATCCAAAGATCACGTAAGGGATGCGTACGTGTGAACGGTGCATGACACGCTTTACGTGAATGTGCGGCAGTACTTCGCGTTTTGCTACGTGGTCTTTCATTCTAGAACGTAAGGCATATGTGCGTGATTGCTTATTACGTAACATACACGCGCGCACTCATGAATAGAAATATATATATATATGTAAAGAGAAGATACGTATATATTGTAATACACATACACGTGTGAAAGTATGTATACAAAGAGTAGCGATATACACGCGTGATAAGTGAAACAGTTAAACGATAAAAAACCAGAAAAATAAACACAGAAAACAAGCAAAATCAAGTAATCCCCTTTAGAAATGACAGTAGAAAAGTTTTGCAAGATTAAATGATCTTAAGAACTAGGATTCGAGGAGGAGACTATACGTGTGTATCTTGGTGAGAAAAGGAAAACGGATCAACATAGTTAGAACATGATACCAACCAGTACCCTGTAAGCAGTGTACCACCATGATGAACACGAAATCAAAAACTTTCAAGATTTGATTTCACACAATTCGCAAATACGTATCTTACAAATGAAAAAGAAAACAAGAGAATATAAACACTTATTTTAAATCAGTTATCAATTCGTATTATGTCTGTTGTGAAAAGAATAGATTTTAGTAAATGTTAGCTGGTGATGTAGTTATTTGATAGTAAGATAGTTTAAAATCCTGAGCAAAATTGGATTTATCTGTTCAATAATTTAATTTTAACCTGAAAATAGAATTTAATTAACAAATTATTTAAATTCTCAAAAATAATATCGATATTCGATGAAGTTTTGACGCATGAAAGTATAAAAATAAGATTCGCACGTAAAAGAGAAGGATATAGGATAAAAGATAGGTGTGTATGATGTATAAACAGTGGAAACATCTAGAATTAATTGTTTTGACAATTGCAACTATTTTTTAAATAAATATATAATTTATTAACGCGGTATCTCATTTAAGAAGATGTTTCCATTTGTGTTTATACATGTAATTATTGGCCATTTTTTAATTTTTTATTTCATATATATAGTAAAAGAATTGATTTTATACGTTAATATTTCAAATTAATGACATTTTTTTGAAATATGTCAAAGAACAATTTTTATTTTGTCTTTTGATGTAGTAAGAGTGCAAATGGCAAATAACACAAAAGTTAGTCCTAGTTATATGTGGTTAATGTGGCTCGATCGACGGTTAGTTATATATCATGTGCGTTCTAATTATGCGAATATTACTCAAATGAGAAGAGAGATTTGCATAATCGCGCTCAAAAACGCAGAAAACTACCCCCGACAATTGCGTACAGAAGTCTACTCCCCCCTTCTGACAATTCAAAGGGGAATAGGACAACGCGTTCTTTCTTGGTGGTGGTTTTAGTTGGTATCGAGCAAATGCAAAAATCAATTGCTGCTTCAGCGCGCTTGTGCAGGTAATAAGAAAGTGAAGGAAAGAAGGACTATGCCTACCTGTTGCTCTTGAAGAGCTTTTTCTCGATCATTTGGCATATACGTCGGACTGAGTACCGTCCTCAATTGTTGCTCCACCTGTACAATATGTTGTCTCAATTGTTGAATTTCCTGAAATGGAAACAAAACAATTTTGTTCGCAACTGTAAGGTAGTCTGAAGGCTGAATGCTATTTTTCCCATTCTGCTAACCTGTTGGTACTGATCTATCTGCGCTAAACAAACTTCTAGAGAAGTTGCTTGTTCTTTAACGGTACTGTGAAGAGAGTTGAGTTCGGCAATCAGATCGTCAGCAGTATCTTTCACCCGGTTGTCACCGACGATACCAGACCTAAAGTGCACCTCGAGCTTTTCCACGGAGATTGTGATCTTTGTTTTCTGAATCGCGATGTCGCTAAGCATTTTCTCACGAATAGCATGTTGATCGCGCAACGGTTTCTTCTTATTCTGTGGCAACTCCAACGTCTGCTTGGCCTTCTCCATCCAGCTCCGTACGTCCTTCATCTTCCTCTCGCATTGCTCCCATTCTTCACTGGCCTCTTGCAGTAATGCATTCTGTAATATGGGGATTTTTCACAATTGGCTGATATTAACTTAAATTTCGGTCGAAGTAAACTAACCCTTTCCAATAGTTGACCCTCGACCTGAACCTTGCCCTCTTCCGCCTCGGCCAACTTCTCTGGTAGGTCCGCCACGGTAGTTACCTGACCGATATTCTCCAATTCTCTGCCCATATCACTGAGATTCTTATTCACCTGCTTGCAGCTCTTGACTGCTGTCTATAAAACGAAGGAAGTGTCAGGCGAACGTTGTCGTATATCTTAGAACGTGAAAAGTTCTTTCACATACCGAATATTCGTGCAATCTCTGTCTGGCTTGTTGAAGAGTGCTGAGCTTCAGTGGTTCGACTAGGAATTGTCTCTTTTCCTCCGTCCATGTCTTGACAGCCTCATAAAGCGCGAGGAACCTCTGCCAGGCATCTAGAGTGTCGCCTACGATTTGTTTCTTTTCTTCCAACCAGCTCTTGATCTGCGCCAGTTGTTCGGTAAGATTATCGATCGTGTTATTGATCAGCTCCTTTTCGGCATCGTCCCTCGTGTTCTTGACGATGGTTTGCCCATTTCTCGTCAGTCGTTCGAGCTTATCGCTAATCGTGCCCAGCTCGTTTTGTATTTGTCTGAGGTGTTCCCTGAGGATGGCCGGCTCGGTCGATCTGTCCTGTACCTTGAGCTCGGCTTGGCGGATCCATGCTTGCACCTCGTCCACGTCGGTTAGATAATCTGACCTGACGGTCCTAGCACGTTTCTGCTCTCTCTGTTTTTCCTCCATTGTTTGTGTCGTTGCTTCGGCACAAAGCTCGAGTGCGGTCAGATGCTGGGTAATGTCACTTGGTACTAGCTGCTGGCTAGCTTGATACCGCGCCTTAATGCTTCCTGAGAAGTTCTTGGCGGTGTCGACGAGATCTTCAACCTGTGAGCTCAGCTCTCCCAGTTCGATCTCGGTCGCGTCTTGATCAACGCCGTAAACGTATAAGTTCGACGCGCTTTCGCGCGCCTCGTTTAGTCGCTTTCGCAGGCGCTCGATCTCACGTTCGATGTTTTCGAGCGCCTCCAGATCCTCGCTCGCCTTCTCGGACTTCCCACGAAGAGAGCCGACGAGTCTAAAAGGATGATTCGAACGGTGACGATTCGCATGGCGAAAGAAGCTTTCACAGAGAGTGACTCTTAAATTTTTTTATTATACAGACACATTGAATTTGTAGAAATATACATTTGGTTATTTAAGAGAAGATTGGTGAGAAAAATTAGCTGGATTATTTAATTTTGAAACTAAAATACTTGTCTTTGTAATATTAAATTCCTCTTAAATTAAAAATAATACAAAATTGAATAATATTGATTACATAAAAAAATATAATGATTAAATTCTTATATTTAAAAAGATGAATAAAATAATAAGATGCTATTATTATTATTATTGCCTATAACATATTATACACGCATATAAAGCACAATTTATTGAAGTATCGTTCCAAATAACAGGTATATTTCCGAAATGCGCATGTTATAATTATAATATATTAAAATTCCATGTGGAAAATAATTGTATAAAACAATCAGTAGTCTTAAACGATCATTTGTGGTGAGACAAATTTAGAATCGGAAATGCGTGTCGCTGTGCTTCGGCTGGCCCGATCCCAGGCGAAGTCGCGCAGTCAGGGCAGCCTTGGCTAAAAGTAGACGAAGGAAGTAT